TTCCAATTTAGTTTTTTTTGAATAAAGATATTTAATAAAATCTTCAACTATTTTTTTGCTTATATCTCTACACCATTCATTTTTATTAAAATTAATAAAATTCTGATATTCTTCTATTTTAGTAAATTTTTTATTATATAAATATTTACTATATTCTTTGTAATTGAATATTGTATAAAGTAATTTTTTCAATATTATATGAGTTATTAAAATTGCATTTTGTCTAACAAAATCTGTTCTTTTTGCTAATAAATTATCAAATTTTCTATCATGTGATAATAAAGTATATTCATTTGCTGTCTTAATATATTTATTAATCATTTCTTTTGTTATATTATCAACTTTTAAAACTTCTTTAATATGATTTTTTAAACCTTTTCATTCATTATTATAATATTATTCAGGTTTATCATATATTAATCCATTATATTTTTTCTTTAATATATATAAATTTGGACTAATACCTTTTTCCATTTCTATAACAATATAAGAAGATTCTATTTCATTAGCCATCTATTCATTAATTTCATTTTGTAAATTAATACCTTCACTATAAGATACAAGTACTATTTTTTTTCAAATATCATATATTATTTTACTAAAATCTTCTTTATTTACATTTTTATCTAATAATCGAAATTCATATTTTTTAATAATTTCATTTATTAATATAGGTGATAAAGAAAAAAAAATTGAATCAGTATCAGTATATTTTCAACTAAACTTCTTTTCTTTTATCATTTTAGAAATTTTTTTGTTCTTCATGTATTCAGTTGTTATTGTTATATAATTTCTAGCAAATGCAGAACACTAGCTGATACTTTATAATCACATATAATAGAATATTAATTACTGAATTAACTATAAATAGAATTAGCTATTCTCTTTAAAACATCTTGTAAAATATTATAATAATAATAATTTTTTTCAATAAATGCTAATGCTTTTGTATATACTAAATTTTCAGAATCTTCTTGATTTATATGACTCTCAGTTAATTCATTAATATATACTTTATTTGATTTATCATATTTACTATGATCTTTTTTTGCTTGTTTTCTTTGTTTTATAAGTAATTTTAAAATCATTGATATCAATCCTTTTTTAGTATTTGAAAATATAATATATTTAGTTTTTCCTTTTATATCTTCAAATGATATCTTATAACATTCCTTTTATTCTTCATTTTTCAAAAGTTTAGTAAGAAAACATATATTATTTTAAGTCATGAAACTTGAATATAATAAATTAAAATCTAAAACTACATGAGTTAATGATGGAAATCCTATTACCGGATCTCCAACTAAACCACCTTTAAATTTTTTTTTTTGATTTCTACCTCTATATTTAAATAATATTTCAAACTTTTCTTGATGAGCTAAATTAACAATTAAATTATTTATCATTTTGGTTTTATTACCATATGAATATTCATATAAAAAGGAGACACAAATCATTAACTCTTTCTAATAATCACTTGTACCAAATTTTTGCTACAAACATTTGTCTCTTACTTAATATTTTATTAAGTAACCACTTTTGGGCGTCTAAGTAAAGTTGTTTCTAATATAATTTTACATTTAGGCAGCCAAGTTTTATATCTCTAAGTTTCTTTTTAAAAGAGATATATTTAATAAACTAAAAAATGCTTCTATTTAAGTTATCTTAAAATTTTATCAGA